TGTTGTAGTTTGCTTGTATATGAACATATTTTGATAAAAGTTGGAAAATACATTAATTTCTTACTAAACCACAGTACCTTTTAATATTCTACATAAAAAAATCTTTTTTACCCTCCCTGTTGCAGCAAACCTAAGTACTCATTAGACTAGTTCTGTTTAAATAGGGAATAAATGTGATATTTTTTAGGAGACATTTTAGTTTAAATCCAATCAGGCAAATGGAAATTCGCTAAGTCTGCAGGTTTGCTGCGGCGAGGGTATTATTTCTTTTATATTCTTGGATATCTAAAGTTTTGTATTTTTGCAAATTTTGCAGAGCACCTAATCAAAACTCGACATGAAAACAAAAATATAAATGAAAATTTAGAACTTCTAGAATATGAAATAAATAAAACAAAATTAAATGTCAAAGAAGATTTTCATATATATACACAAATTACAAAGGATTTCCTCAAAATTTACTGAATACCATGAACATCAACAAAACAAATCCGATATTTAAAAAAATCCTACAGTTGCAATAAAACAGAAATATTATGTAATATACGCAAAATTAAACAAAGAATAAATCAAGATCCTTTAAATTCTAAGTTAGCTTAACCCAAGGCGTATGAAAGAGCTTAACCGCTTAACATATGACTATATTTATTACTTTCATTTTTTTTTGTTATTGTATTTGTATAAAATGTAAACATGAATATGACCTAAGTGTTGAAACATGTTGTTTGTTAAATTAAAATGGATTTAAAAGGGATTGATGTATTATGGTCCTTATAATTCTAAAAAAATAGTGCAACCCACCATTGCTGAAAAGATTACGGTCCAAAAGGTTTTGTAACTGATGACATTTTCTCTACAAAATATCATAGTTACCGGTACTCCCACCGCTTACTCAAGATAAAGGTTGTTCACAAGCTAATGGGAGTGTAGCGTGTCACCGTCCTTAAATTAATTGTAATATTTAGTAGTTTTTTTTTGGCTTTTGTGTTTAAGTTATGTTGTAACAGTTTCCTTATTTCTTTTCGGCCTTTAGGCTTATCTAACGGTGAATCACGCGATTTCAATGCAAGTGTAAGATCAAAGAGACACATTGAAGTTACTTGATCCCGTATTGGAATAGGGAGGGGGGCACGCGGACATTGTCATCTAGGTATTAATCACGCTTCACCCATCATACTGTTCACGTCATTTCTCAAAGTCTATATACACGCATATCCTACTAATATTATAAATGAGAAAGTTTGGATGGATGGATGTATGTTTGTGACAAGTAAACGCGAAAAATACTGGTCGGATTGGGCTGAAATTTGGTATGATGATAGCTCACATTCCCGATTAACATATAGACGCATTCTTATCTTAAGTCCTTTCGGGCTCCGCCCCAATGGCTCTGGAGTTTCCCATGTTAACCTTATGAGTAATCGTATTTAAAAGGAGTAATAGCTATTTACATTACAAGTGTAGTAAGAGCGTTTTTACATCACGCTCTTGCGTAACGTGTAACGTACAAGATTTTACCTGACCCGACAATATACATGGGTTAACGTACAATATTTTTCATCATCCATTTCACTCATCTTCTATCAGTAACGTTATTTTACTAACAACATTACAAAAGCTAGGTTAGGAAAATACTTTAAAGCATAACAATAACATTCAAGCGCACAGCTGATTTCTAGCGTTGAACGTTGTTGGCTCCATAGAGTTATATTTTTTAAGTTAAGCACTCAATGTTATTTAAATGGGTTTCTTTACATCACCGAGTGAGTTTTTGATACTTTACATCACTCGAGAAGTAAAGGCCCGTTGTCCAAGAATGCGTCTGTTGCGTCTGACGCTGAGTAATAGACGCTAGCGATGGACGCTCAGTGACTGCTAAGCATTGATTTCAATGGGCCCGTTGTCCAAGGGACGCTGAGCGTCTGACGCGGGGCACTGCACCGGGAGCAGACGGGATCGCTGATGGCCAGCGTCTATTGCGTCTATTGCATTGTTGTTTCTGTGTTCTCCCGTAACCCATACTATACTGTATCTTAATGTAATGGCTATAGTCAAATAAATATAGGATATGACCTAAAAAAATTGCAAGAAAATGTTTTATGATTTTATTTTGTAGTATTGGGTCTGCTAAGTGACATTCTAAAAGTTTACAAAAATCGGTCCATGGGTAACCCCCTAAAATCATGATTAAAAATAGCAGTTTATCCATCAAATTACATTGGACAAATAAAAAAAAATATTCCACATGCATTTTTATGCACATTTTTTTAGGCTTAGGACCACCACCACTATTTATTGGGTGGTAAGTACTTTATTTCGATAGAAAACACGTTTATGGCTGCCATCTTGGATCCGCCATATTGGATATACATATTTTTTTATGTGATACCGGTAGTGTTGTGACACATCATTATAAAGTAGATTTTCATGCTGATTTTAATGCCGAAATCAGTTTTAATTTTTTTTTTCGTTTTAAAGATAAATTCAAACGAAAACTCTCCCCCATACATTTCTTATAGACGTTTCATACTTAAAATCAAACTTTAAATTTAAATTTAAAATTATTTTTTTTATATTCCCAGTTTTTATTAACTTAACGCTTGCAGTTCGTTTTAGCCTTAAATTATTCAGTAATGTAAAAACTTCCATTTGAGCTATTGATCATTAAAATCGGAGAAGTTAGAGACCTGCTACGAACCAAAACACAAAATTAAAGTTAACTTTTTTTAGAATTTGGTTTTTATTAAAATATTTATACATCGGGTTGTTAATACGCCACCAAGTTCTTTTTGGTCTTAAAATTTTCTGTAAATGTTTGGCTTTAATTTGATTAATCACTCCTGACAAAAATTTTAAATGAGTCATAGACCTTAATTTAATATTAAACGAGAGGTCGTCCAGTGGTCGAAACTCGACCAAAAATATGTAATGTACTCACTTATCTATTTTCACCCCACACTGTAAATAAAACATGTGATTGGAGTTTCCTCCATTTGTTTTGATTTTCTGTTTATATTTCGTTGTTATTTCGTAACCAGCATAGCAACGCATAAGATCCATGTTAATTTTTTCAAATTTTTAAACTCATTTTTTGTGCTTATCTTTGAGCCTATTTAAATTTATAAAGGGATTCTGCACACCTACAGGAAAATAGCTTTCCAACGGTATGCGTAGATTTTCCCTACGATTCACACGAGCTGAGAAAAAAGGTTTTAAAGAAACATGCTTGCCTATTAATATATAGATAGATTATTTTTATTTGTCTTTAGTTAAAGACATATATCCCCAATTTTGAATAACTCCCATAACTCTTTATAGCCAATGCACCAAAGTAATGACTTTTATTTTAGCTATGGATTACATATTGGGAGTTATTTAGAATAGGGGATATGTGTCTTTAACTAAAGACAAATTTCAAAATAATAATACTTTAATGTTAAATTAAATTATTACAACTTAAATTTTAAAGGATTTAAGGGAACATAAACTGTTTCCTTTAAAAGTTAAAAAGTCACTAAACAGCCTCTCGTCTGCATTAAAGTGATATTTGATAAGTATTTTAAAATATCCTTCACCACATATCTTTTTGAAAACACTGTAGGTACACAATCGAGGATTACATAAGGTCCAGAATTTTCTCGTTTTCTATCTCTTCGATGAACAGGATCTTCAACACTTTGCTCTTAACAGTAATAGTTAGAGCAAAATAAATTTTATTTAACACAGTCAGCAACCAACTGTTGAACTGAATAGACGCGTTCTTGGACAACGGGCCTCTAAGCGATCGACGCCCAGCGATCATCGCTCTGCGTCAGACGCGCCTTGGACAACGCACCTTAAGGAAGTTGTATACATCACGCTTGGGATAGAGAAGTTTAACATGGCGGGTTAGGTAAAAGAATTTTGTCAGCTGTTTCAACTACACAAGTTGGTTCTATGATATTGAATAGCATTAAAAAGTTACAAGGTTTACCAACAGGGTGCAGTAATATTATTTTTTTACATTTATGACAACAGCTATCCTATTAAGGCCATAAAGGTAAAATTTTGTTTAAAGGCTTATGAGTAACTATTTTATCGACAGATGTAAAGATCAAAATGTTTCTATTTCGTGTTCTCTTCCCGATGCAAAGCACGGGTACAACAGCTAGTTGTTCTATAATATTCAAATATAAACCTTAAATTCAAGTTTTCAGCATCAAAACTGTTATTTATTTTCATCATCCCAAGTAATTATTTTATCATCTCATTTTATCTCTGTTGTGTCATTAGGACCTACTCTCCCTTAATTAGAGTAGTGGTGGCAGCGATACCTCCTGTAGACTTTACTCGCGACCGGTACAGGAGAAAGTATGAGTCAGATTGCTGATACCGTTTATTCTAGTATATTTATTCAAAGGTTTGTCTTTGTTTATGTAATCGGCTACTGCTACATGTAATTTTGAATATCATTGTAAATTTTAATAATCCAGTAATGTTGATTTTATATGAATTTCGGAGATTTATTTTGAGACACATTAAGCTTTCTAAACCCTTTTACAACGATTGGTTTATTTAAAAATTTAGTTTAAAAGCCTCCCTATCTACCGATACTTGTGTTTGCACTCAAGGCACTATCAATAAGATTTGTATAAAAATTAAGTTTGCTATCAATGCAAGAACACGCAAAAATTTAATTTTATAATCCACTTGACCAAAATTAATACACCCGCCACAGCAAACCTGCAGACTAAGTGAATTTCCATTTGCCTGATTGGATGCCAATCGATCCCGGGTCCGGGTCTTACCATGAGTACTACGGTAATAGCTTATTCCCTATATGGGGAATTCACTAAAAAAGAAAACATATTTAATTTTTGTGTTAATCATGTATAATATAGCACATTTTATTGAGGAAGTAATTATTCAAAACCATCACTAAGCTATTCATAAACTTTCACCTTGTCCTATGTCCGCCTTTTGTTATTTATTTGACAACTTAGAAAGTATATTTGTTTCAGATCCCCATTTGTTTGGAATTCCAAATATAACTTGCGACGCTAATTTTTTTAATCAGACTTCTTGTAATGTTTGGGACTTTAAAGATGGAATATACTGGACTTCTTACTACAACGACTTCTTACTACCTGGTAAGTTATCACTTGTAATGTAAGGTTGGTTTTGAGAGTACGATTTTCTGTCATTATAATATATTAACATGTGATGGGGTATTTTATTTTACAATTCAAAATCAACCACTTGGCAGGTTTCAATGATTTCTGTGTTGAAAGAAGATCATTTTGAAAAGAAGGTAATGTCGAGGCCACAATTAACTTAATTAAATCAGTAACTTAATTTTTCTGTTTTTTTTTTAAATTAAGTGTTAATTTTTAAAGAGTATAGCAGCCGACGCTAACAATTTAAAGCTGTTTCTGTGCTGGTTTAACTAACAGATGGTTTTAAACTGTCATTGAAATGTTTATGTTACAAGTTATTAATGATGATAATGATATTAATAAATACTAGTGGCTTGTAGCAAGGCCACACTAAAAAAACAGGCCGTAATGCTCGTCCAGCATGACATCACAGTAGAAGACGACAATGACGTAATTTTGCCGTTTGTGATCAGCTGCTTGTTTTAATCTTTCATTGGAAAATAAATAAATAAATACCTATACGTCATAGCCGTCTTCTATCGTGACGTCATGCTTGGCGAGCATTACGGCCTGTTTTTTTAGTGTGGCCTTGCTTGTAGGGACATAAGTCCCTAAAAAGCGCAATAATGTAAAACAAATTATTCTAATATATAAACAAACTCAGAAATATATTATCTATGTGTCAGAATAGATATCCCTGTAAACAATATCTTTTTCACCGCACTATGATGTTTTTAGCGGTTTTACATACGTTAAGCGGCTGAAAGTTACGTTTTGCTGGCCATGCCAGCTGTCATCGTTATTTGGGGACCGAGCAGGTTTTTACATCCCTAGGGCCGCAAAATCAGCTGCCGGCTTACTTACTCAAAACATGAATGCATGTAATAGCTATATACATTACAAGTGTAGTAAGAGCGTTTTTACATCACGCAGGTGAACGAGCGGAAGCGAGTTGCATAATTCACCTAATTGATGTAAACACGCTCTTGCGTAACGTGTAACGTACAAAATTTTACCTAACCCGACAATATACAGGGGGCTACGTACAATATTTTTCACTATCCATTTCACTCATCTTCTAACAATAACGTTCTTTTACAAACAAAAGCTAGGTTAGGAAAATTCTTAAAGCATAACAATAAAATTCAAGCCCACAGCTGATCCTGATTTAAACGTTGAACGTCATTGCCTCTGATACATAGATGCAATTTGTTTAAGTATAAATTTGTGACATTAAAACTTTAACTCGAGTTTGGGAAATATTTTTTCCAGCAAATTATCACTTAATCGTTTAAGTGATTTAAGTTTTGAAATTTTGTTTATGTTCGAATGTGTAGCATACCAAAATTTAAATTTTGGTTAGTAATTAAAATTTCAACTGATGTAGTAGGTCTCTAGAAAACTGTCGAATAAGCTGCAGGGTTTCAGTAGAAACCAAAATCGATTCACACTATATCATAACTAACCCAATAGTATGGTTCATAAACTTGAGTACTGACCAAAAAACCAAACAATGGGTTAGAGAATAGAGTGCAGAGAAAATATACGGACCAGTTCAAGATAACGGAGGTTGAGGTTAAAATGACTCTAATTAATTAGCGAATTCCCCTATAGGGAAGTAGCTATTACCGTAGGTGGCACGATAAGGCCTAGACCCGGGACCAATATACTTTTTCATTTTGATGTCCCTAGAGGCCAAAAACACTAATCGTTCAAATTTTTATATATTATAAATCCGTGAACACGATTACTTGAGGAATTTTTGTCAGATTTTGATTAAATTTAGCTCGAAGAAGTAGGGCGGGATAAACTTGAATGAGTTTGCAAACCAGTTGAGTTTGCGAGGTCCCTATACCTGTTCAAGTTCTAAGTTGTCTGTGAAATTGCTTCTCAATTAATTTAGTGTTTTATTCAAGAAAGAAATATCTGTTTAGTGTAAATAGTCGAGGCGCTGAGGGGGTTTGAGCATGCATAAAAGTGTAACGAAATTTGACTTTTGATTGTTGCTATGGGTACCTAGTAGATGAAGAAAATCGATGTTGTCGCATTTCTAGGTGGTTAATAACATGGGGGGGAGGGGGTGAAGTTGGGGGGCCGCCCGGGGGGCCGCCGCGCACAAAATAGCTTATATCTCGAGAACCAAAAGTCATATGAATACGTTAGACATGTCAAACTGTGCAGAAAAATGCATTCTACAAAGAGATTATGTAGTAGTTTTACGGAAATTGACAAGAAGTTACTAAAAATTACATTTTTTTAAATTTACGATAAGTATAATCAGGAGTATAATGGTTTTTGTTGTTTAGAACCACTAATTTTTCAATTGACAACTTTTGAGAGTAGTACACAATAGGTAAATAGTACTTCTGTATAATGAAACTATTGTGGTACATAACTTAACAGCTATACAATCCTCAGATCCAATAAACATAACACAAACAAAGGCGAAAAACGCGTCGCGGTCATTGTTCCTGCTGCTGTAACTATTAATGGCGAGTACAGTTCAAGCTGAGACTTATATTATACTTTTAGAAAGATGGAGATTCTGAGGATTCATTTTCATATATATAAAATAGTATTGAGTGACTATTATGTAGCGAGAAATATAGCTTGTAAAAGAAGAGAGTTCAAAAAAAATTTTGGTGGTTGAACGTTTCCATCACCTGACCAGGCATCACAATTGGTGCAACAGCTGTTTCGGCGATCGCGTAAAGGTAGTGTAAACGATACAAGTAGAAAATGTTAAATACAAGCCACATCAAGGTGGCGAGTGCCTTAAAAACTTCTACGAGTGTCGTTAACACTATTTACCCGAGTTGTGTGCACTAATTAACCTGCGACAGTATTTTAATTACAAAAAACCACTACTCAAAACTTAAAAAGAGAGGTTATTTTTTCTTTACCCCTCATTGTCTCTGATAGTAATGCAGCGAATCATCGCACCAATCGTTAACAATTAAATTGGCTTGAACAGCTGATTAGTTGAAGTTCGAAGCATTATAATTTTACTTCTTCTCTCAATCCTTGACCCTATCTGGGAACCAGTGGTGGTTATATTTTGGCCCTTTTGTAGTGGTACCATATATTTCACCAGAGAAAAGTTACATGCCCATATAAGTAGATATCTATTATATATTATGTTTCAGTGATAAATGTAGAATATAATAATATAAAAATATATATTTTTCAGCAATGCTATTAGGCGTAGTAGCAAGAGGTTAGCAAATTTTTGGATTATGCAAATTAGAAATGTCTAAATCAGCCCGCAAAAATCATAAAAATAATGTTTTTATCCATATTATCCAAATGTTAAGGTTGTGTAATATATGATTCCTTACGTAGAAATATCAATGTTTTTTTTTTTAAATACGCATAAAAATAAAATTATAAAAAAACTACAAAACTATTTCAATTACCGAATTTTATTTAATTGTTGTATAAGAAATAAATTTATTGCATCAACAGTAAATAAATATTATACTGCTGAAAGAATTCAGTATTTTCACAACAATTTTTAATTGAATAATTTAATTTTTACCATATATGTTTTTATTTTTATCAATATGTCAATCCATCTCCCTTTATCAAACCTTGTATAATATATGGCCAAACAGACCAATAGGTAATTGATTCAATACAATATAATATAGAACATTTTCAAATAACCTTATTTCATGTAAATATATAATAGCCTATAACTTTTTGTAACAAAATTGCTTCAAATTCAATATAATTTTACCTTAATAACTTGTCAAAATTCAAATTTAGCTTTATAGCAAATGAAAATTGTTATAATATATGTGTGAACAGTGGCCTACAATTTTCCGTGATAAAGTCAGCATTGACATATGTGAATGCAACAATGCATCAAACCTTCCTCACTTCCAAGAGTGCTGAGCTAGTATGAAGATATAAATTGTAAACTGCATATTTTAATATAAAAATTTATAAAAAAGTGCATATATTTGGAATAAATTAGTGAAATTTGATTAAAGAAGATCCGTCCTTGTTACAAACATTAATAACTACACAACATTAAGAAATTTAAGTGTGAAGAAGACATCAATTTTGGTGAGATCACTCCAGTAGACATTTTCTATCCTTGGATCGAAGCCATTAGAACATTTTTAAGCCTAACTTTTTATTCAGAACATTAATTAATTCAACCTATCAGAAAATAATTCGAACATAATTTATATTTCAAAACAACATTTAATTAGGCTATATATAATCACAAGATTAAATTCAAACGCTCGATCACCCCACCCGAGATAAAGATCCATGCAATAAACCCCTCAACCTACATTAGAACTATTATATTAGGCCTAGCCTAAAGCTTAAATTAGTAAATTCATTTGCCACCCTTTGTAAACTTTTATTGTGAACCCTTAGTTTCTTTTCTTTTACCATCAATTTTGTATTGTAATGAAATAAATTTAAGTTTAGATACTGTACATGGAGTTTCCATTGTATTCCTAGCTTACACTGGTTACTCTGCTTAATTTAAGAGTAAAAGCTCTTTCTAAAAACGTATAGTTAAATGTAGTTGAAATCGAAATTTCCTGAGTAATTTAAGTCAGAATGTGAAATGTTAAAATTTTTTTACGAAACCATAATTTTTACGACCTTTTCAAAACTACATAAAATTGTTATAACCAACCTCAGATTCGGAGATATATAAATTGTAGGGCATTTATTGCAGTTTCAGATGGTGATGGAAACGATCCACCCGCAAAATATATTTTGAACTCTCTTCTTTTACAAACTATATTTCTCGCTACATAATAGTCACTCAATACTATTTTATATATGAAAATGAATCCTCAGAATCTCCATCTTTCTAAAAGTATAATATAAGTCTCAGCTTGAACTGTACTCGCCATTAATAGTTACAGCAGCAGGAACAATGACCGCGACGCGTTTTGCGCCTTTGTTTGTGTTATGTTTATTGGATCTGAGGATTGTATAGCTGTTAAGTTATGTACCGCAATAGT